TCCTAACTCCCTGAACTTGTTCGTTCATCTGGGGAGAGAAGGTGATGGTTTCCTTGGAACACTGTGTCTTTGGATTGCCAGAATAGCTTCTTTTGTCTTTTACATCAATTGAGGCACAGAAATGTTAGTACTTCTCTCAATTCTTTTAATCCAATTTTCAATGATGAAAAATTTCAAATATACAGGAAAGTAGGCAGTGATCAGCTTAATTCTTGGAAAGACACATTTCCTCAAAGGTGATGGATGTCAAGCTGTTCCAGGAAGAGATAATAAAGCTTAACACATGCTCCAGCTTAAATTACTTGAAGTTAAGCCCAAAATTTACAGGTTCTCAAGGTGTGAAGCAACGAAACTAGGAGACTGATTCGGCAAAGCACACAGGAACATCCAAAAAAAGAAATGAATTTGCCTTTATATTATGAAACTATCAAATCTCACCTAATCCTCTCATAGTCTTCTGCTTTGTAGCATGAGCTTTACTGAAAAGGTCTCAAGCCATTTCGCAAAAATGTTTTCTGTGTCAACAAAGGAGCAAATGGTAACCGGTGTAGACAAAAAGAAACAGCTCAGGCTTACAGGTTTAAATAGAGTGTGGCCAGACATTCTTTTCTTGATTTTGCCCTCTGCACTTACATTCTGTAGATCGTGTGTCTAATTGCTGCGTTGTATACTCAAGTGCCTCTGAGTATAATATATTACCTTCTCTTGAAACCCACATTTTTCTCCCCCTGGTTGTTTGCTTGTGTTCCCATTCTATCACTAGCACAGCAGTGGTGGGTTTACTTTCATTCCGGATGGATACATACCCCAAATTCCATCCAGAGTGCTTATTTGCCTGGCTTTTCTGGCCTCTTCATGTGCGTCTGCATTCCTGTAGGGTAACATCTTCATCCCTCTCCATTTTCCTGCTTTTCCATTTCCTATGGTTTTCTCTGTTTCTGTTCTGTGGCCAACCCTCCCTGCAGCTACATGTGTTTTTGAATCTTCTCTGTATTTTAAAATTATCTTGGTATTCTTAGCCTTTGGGCTTTCAGGACTTATTTAAACTCTCTCATCTTTCCTCTGCTGCTTTTTCAATTATTTCTGGGTCTCATTTTGCATGCCCTCCCCATAGCTTTTCCTTAAGTAAAATATCCTTTCTAAACAGTGAAATGTTTTACTAGGGTAGATGGTTTTTGTAATCTCTCCTTGCATACAAACTCAGTCTTCAAGAATGAGTGATCCACCTACCTTCTTGTTTCCAATCTCAGTTGCCCAGAGTTCTAGTTTCTCCTGGTACAGGTGATATACATCACATTCTGCTATTATAGGTTATTTTCTGCCAGAATAAGGAAACGTGCTTAGTTAGACAGTGCTGACAAAAAGTGACTTGCCTGTTTTCTCCCAGCATCTTCCATTCCCGGTCTTCCCCATAATCTCATCTCTCTTCCCCAAAGGAAGAGCCGAATCTTGCACCAGGCAAGTACACATATTAACAGATTCACGATGGAAACCTATTGACGAAAATTACCCAGCAATTATCCTGAAGCTCACATAGTCCTCACTGTCTTCCTATTGAACTTGATCATTAGTCAGCAATGGAAGCTCACTTAGCATTCATCTTACTTTTCTCCTGTGTTGGGTGACACACCTCAGCGGAGAGCCTGCTTTGGAAGAGAACCTCTTCATATCTCTCTGACTATGCACAGAATAAGATCATATTTGGCTTCCCCATTTAGTGTTAGTTCAACACAGTTTCTAAATGCACAAAGCAGATGTATTGATCATTCTACCTAATGCTGTACTTATAGTAATGACATAGAGACATATTCTAAGACACTCCTACCTTAAAAAAGACTACAGTATAAGAATATTCACTGTAAGATTCCAATTCGAACCCATACATTCAATTGCCTTCCTCTCATATTCCTACTGGATTGGCCAAAGAAAATTGAAACAAGGGAGGAAACATCTGTATCAGCCATGAGAAACAGAGAAGTTACCACTAACAGTCCAAAGTCAGAAAAGGAAAAATTTCAAGAGATAGCATGGGTGGCCTGAATTTCAATAATAGTATGTAATTGTGGTTAGTATTCTGGATGGATAATGGTATTAAGACTATGTCAGAGTATGCTTTTACTTATGAGATATTCAGAAGGAACAGCATTATTTTCAGAGTGGAATATTTAGGGCTAACGTATCAGGATATCCTCAGTGCGCTCAAATAGTTCAGGGAAAAAATTAATAGTATGGTGACACTTTGGTTCATGAACTTAGTTCTTTCTATAATTCTGGTCACAAACTGAGTTGGAAGACAACCAAATAAAATTCAGTGGTTAGGTTCAGTGTGGACTGTATGGGAAAATTTGATTTTGTGCTCGTTCAATTTGGTTTGCCGCCAGAAGCATGGAAAGAATTAAGTTCATGAATAGAAGCATACACACCTCAGTTTACAAACTCAGTCTGTATGGGGAGGAGGGTGGGAGGGGAAGGGGAAAAAGAAAGAGAAAGAGAGAGAGAGACAAAGAGTTAGAGAGAGAGAGAGAGAGAGAGAGAGAGAGAGAGAGAGAGAGAGAGAGAGACAGTCAAAGTGTTGAATTTTGAAACTTGAGGTAAGCCCCATAGATATTTAATATACTACTTACTTTACTTTTGTGTAATTTGAACAGTTTATGTTTTGTGAAATATTTGTTAAATAACTAAGAATATTATCTTCTATCTTTTTTTCTTTCCTACCTCTTCTCACTTTTTTTTTTATCTCGAGTGAATTGCTTTATCTTAGGTGATAAATAGTTGCTATAAAAATCAGTGTTTTAATTTATGAGTTTCCTTAATTTAAAGATGCTTTCCTTTCTTTAGGTTAGTTTGGACCTTCTTACCATATGAAGTGGTAGTTTTTATTCTATTTTATTTTAAGATGTCTATTCCACTAAAGAAAGAGGATGGATTGGAGACAAAAACAGGAGTTAAAAAGTTCTTATGCCCTGTTTCTGGTCATTTAAGGTGGCATCTCATCTTCCAGATGCTAAAGGATGTTTACCCCTTACAAGGAAGATTCTAATTCCACTGGGACAAAAATACAAATACTGTACATGGTTATAAAAGATTTTTTCAGTATCATTTTGGGGTCTTCAATTACAGTGAACATATTCTGAAGAAAAGAACTGTGTCTTTATAGCTTTTATAACACCAACCACAAAGTCAAACAGCTAAGTTCAAAGGAATATTATTAATCCTTATTCTCTTTAACTTCTCCATAGCATTTGGCTATGTTGAAAGGCTTTCTTCTTCAATATCCTCTGTCTTCATCTCCTTCACTGGTACCATTAGTAGCAGGGCCCGAGTGAATGTTCTCTCATCTGGTGTTCTTTCCTGCAGTTTCATCTTCTACACTCTCTCATTTTACTTTTCATATCTCCATCAAAGTTATCTTTGATTAATTCACATCCTTGCTTAAAAACCTGTGACACCTTCCCACTGTCTACAGGAGAGGTTAAAATGTCTTTGGCCTGATTCCATCATGTACTCAGTGGAAGGAAGATGATCAGTTCTCTCTCTCTCAGTGGGGCTTAGTCTTATTTCTCCTTCCAGAAACCTGCCCTACAGCCATGGAGGCAACAGGTGATTCTGAGGTGCCTCCTTTTGCTAACTTGGGTCGTAGAGGGAGACTTTAGCTCTGAAGACTTGTACCTCAATTATAGAGGAGCAGACATGTAAGATGAAAAATAAAGGGCCTTCCTGAACAATTGTGGCCTCAGCTGTCTGGGCCAAGTGTTTCATCACTATGAGAATAACCCTTCTCACTGTGTATAGTGATCCACACTAGAGAAATTCTATGGGTCAAAGCAGAGTGGAGCAGAGTGCCTTATTTTCATCATGTTTGTTGTTTCTGGGATAGATTGGGGGTGGCTATTAGCTATGGAGAGGCAGATGGGTGAGAGTGTAAGGGAAGTGACAAATGGCTCCATTTGTCTGAACTTACTCCAAGCCACTGTAATCACAAGAGTCAAGTTTCCTTGAGAACAGGTTCATGGTTGAAAGAGAGGCTTCAGAGAGGCTATTTTTGGTTATTATTGTAGTTGCTGTTACCCCTGATTTGCCTCTGTATGTATCATAGCCATGGTGACCATATGTTTTCCAGGTTAGCATGGGTCAAGGTGGTAATTTTTAATATTTACTTGGAAAAATATTTAATATTTACTTGAGAAAATATTTACACTGTCACCATAGCTATGGACTACAGGGAAGAATGAGTCTCAAATGACTGGTGCATGGGCAGCCTTATTAAGCAAATAGGAAAAATTTAATATACTTAATAACAACAGTATAAAGCATGTAGATACTATATTAATTCTACTACCCCAAGTTCTCTTCTTTTGAGCACTTTGGTAAATTGTGTATCCTCTTAAATAACCTTGTGGGGTGACAATTCTAGAGTTGAGCTGCTTAAGCATAGATCTTCGGACTGGCTTTGGAATCCAGAAAAAAAAAATTTGAATTTTTATGAATAAATTCCAGTAAGGAAAGAGCCACCAAGTTTGCATGTGAGCTTGAATTAAGAAAAAAGCTCTACAAACTTCCCACCTTAGCCATTACAATTTGGTCAGGCTAGCTTTATTTTGGAAGTCATATGTAGCACTTGCTCTTTATGTTCTTTGTAACAGAAGCAGAGGCCCAAAGATAGAATGTGTGACAGAGTCTCCTAAAATAGATCAGATGATGTCATAACCATTATTGCCTCTTGCCGCCACTGCCACACAAAGGCAGCAGAGGAGTATCTCGCTGTGACCTCCCTTGTCCTTCTGTACATCCAAGTTCAAATGTCTGCTCTTATCACAGCTCCACCACAATGGAGACAACTAATCCTGCTGGCTCTCTTTAGAAATTGGACTTTGAGTAATGAGTATCATCTTGTCAGATGCTTAAAATACATTTAATTTTAATGCCTCATGTCCTCAGCACCGATGACACCAAACTATAGAATAACGGTGGCTTTCCTTTACATTTGTCTTTCCAAATAGGTGCCTTGGAAGCCTGTTCACATGAAGTGGGAATATAACGTGCACCCACCACATTGGTCATCTGTGATTTCCTCAAGCGCGGGCCCTCCTTTGAAGGAGGAGAAGCAATGTGATTCATGCCTGTGTGGTACCTTTGAATCAGCACTGGGATGCTAGTGCCTCTGTTCTCAGTATCACCTCTAGGTGCATGTCCTTGGGTAAGTCATGCTTCCCCTTGCCTTCTCTGAGGTTGGGTGGGATTCTCCTCCAGCCTCTGGACAGTGCTCTCCTGGGTTGTGATGGCTGTGGGAGGGCTCTGGCAATGGCAGAACAAACTCAAGGGAGCCCCCAGGGTGTCAGAAGGGGTGCCAGTTGTCTTTATTTGCCCTCCCATACCCCTCTTCACACTTTTCCATGTTCTTTTGAACACTTCCCAGAAGGTTGAACTTTGAGGGATGTGCCAGTGGGCTGCCCCCACCTCAGCTCCTTGTTGGGTTTGGCAATGGAGGCAAAGGATGGAGGGAACGAGGTATTTCTTTTCTTGGCTCTTTCTCTCCCTGTGGGTCATGGTGTGCTGGCTCCACCCTACTTTGTCTCTGAATTCTTCTGATCTAGTCTAGGCAGGGAGCAGTTTCCTACTATTGCTGGCTCTGAAGTAATATACCATCTCTTGTTTTTCCTACACCTGTCCCGTACCTGTAGAAAGAGTCCCTCAATTAAGCGCTCCTCCATTTACCCTTCTGTTTCTTGCTGTGAGCCTACCTAGTAGAAGGGGTTATTCTTGAATAAGTGATGTTGCCAGAAGGATCCTGAAAGACTTTATGAGTGACCTGCAGAACCAGGCAGTGAGCAATGCCACGGATGCCCATAAATTGCATCCAGATCTGGGAATGGGATGGGAAGTCTGGCTGTGTGTGGTTTTGTTGCTGCATTCTGAGATGTTGCCAGGGTCACCAGTCCCTTCGCCTTGGGGCCATTGCAGCACAGCTCTGGCTTTTATTTGGAGCTTGGGAGAGGGGAGGAAGTAAGTTCTCTCCACTAGCATTGCTGGCACAGAGGGAGGCCTCTGAGTTAGCAGCTGAGAACAGGCGATTTTGAAGTGTAGCCCTGTCTCTGGTGCCTCTCTCTTCTGGCATTGGCAATCCAGGTCCATCTTGGCATCAGGCAGCAGCAAGGAGAGATGCCCTGGAGCTTCGAGCCTGTTGCCTCCTTCCTGCAGTCTTCTTTGGCATCCCCTATTCCCCTGCAAAGCAGAGCTCCATTACAAATGAAATGTCACAGTTTCAAACAAACAAACAAACCCTAAACAATGCCAAGTCATCTGGTGGAAATCACCAAGAAATCTCAGTGTCCTGTGCCTCGTTTGGGCCTTCTCTCTGGGCATTTAATAATCTTTTCATGGCTGAAGCAGGATTCATTTTCCTAGTGGGTAACCATCCTAGTGGGTGACCATCTCCAAAGCCATGATGTCCTTCAAAGCAGGAATGCTGCTTGGTCAAACCTGGTGATGTGACAGGGAGCTGGGCTGCCCCTTGTTTAGTGTTGATTTAGGTGAGTTGGCCACTGTTTGGGATTTGATCAATTCCTTTCCTTGTGTTCTTTCCCAGCCACAGGTTCCCTGAGGAAAGCCTTCCTCTCCATTTGCCTTTTTTGGCCAGATCATTAGAAAAAGCCCAGAGACTATGTTACATTGAAAAAAAGTGGTCAAATCCACTCTCTCTGCCTAAACCAGAGAAGCTCACTTGATCAAATTTGGGTAGCACAGGAGTAGGGGAGAGGCAACTAGAGCTCTGTTCTCTGGCAAAGAAATAGTAAACAGCGCAACAGTTATTTCAGAGGGCAAACTGTTTGCCTCACTAATGAAGTATGGCTTATGATGGAAAATAACTCGAAGAAAGTAGGGAGCAAATGGATTGAGTTGCTATGGGAACGCAGTTGAAAAAAAAATGAAATATGTAAATAACTGTAATTTGGTATTTTAATGCACTTCTTTTCCAGGAAGAAAATTCCCTGACAACTAAAACTAACAACTCATTCCTCTGCTACACACAGTCCTGATTGACAGAGGCTGGGCAAGTAGATTTCTGAATTCAATTTTGCCTGAAGGAGCAAATACATCTTTATTCCTAGGCATAAAAATCAAACATCTGGAGCAGAGGCTGTCAACTCTGGCTGCACATTGGAACCACTCAGGGAATTTTTGAAAATTCAGCCACATCCCAGGCCAATTAAATCAGATTCTCTGGGTGTGAAGTTTGGGCTCTGGCATTTTTTAAAAGGTCCCTTGTCTCTTCTGTTGGGCAGTCACTGGCCCACAGTATTGATTTGATAGGCTTGGTGAATATAGGTTATCTATTTTACTGTACATCTTTTCTGCATTTTATTTCACCTGAAATTTGATGATTTGGACATTTTCATACCAATAATTCAAAAGGATTAGCAATAATTTTTCCATTATTAGTGTTATTACCTTCACCATAATAATTAGTGCTTCTCTTATGTGGAGAAAACATGTGCTACTGTATTACCGATAATTACCATTTAGCTATAAAATAAGGATGATTAATTGCTGTTATTTTATAGATTGATAGTCATAATTTGGGAAGTTTAGATGTTGCCCTAAATGTTGATATTATCTATATTTTAATAATTACCATCATTAATTACCACTAGTTATGTGATAAATCAATAATAGGCATTTATAGATAATTATTGAACTTGCTTAATAGTAGTCCGTATTAGAATTGGTTAGTGGCATCCTTTCTGTTTTCCTAATTGGAAAAATATTTCACACAAGCATCAAGCAACTTGTATGTTGAAATCAGGGCATATGTGAGTGCAGAACTCCAAAACTGTGATTTTTTTTCTTATTGTCTGGTTCTGTCCAATGTGATGAAATCTCAGTCCTTCTGTAGCATCACTCCAGGAACAAAACTACAAGTTTACTGGTATCTAAAGAGAATTTGAATGGACAAAGAAGAAGGGTTAATGAAAAAGTTCAATATTTTAGAAAGAATGATTTGTGAAACTTCCATTTGTTTGTCCAACCTAAATTCAGGTAGTTGGGGACTTTAAGACATTACTGGAGATTCCAATCTATGGAAAGTTTGTTTTCTTCTGAATTATTCTTCTTGCCTTTAACATTACCAGTATGATGTGAAACCTTTGAGGGTTATCTCCTGGGATTCAGCCTGTGTGTCTCCTAGAAGAGGCTTGGCATGCCTTCTGTACATTCTCTTCTGGTGGCCTTTGAGATGACTTCCTCCAATCCCATGGAAGAGATCAGATTCTCTATCACCTGCCCCTACAGCACTTTTCTTGTCTTCATTGTAGTTCCTAGTTAAATCAAAATTATTTACTTAATATGAACCCTTCTGCAAATGCAGAGAGCTCTTACAGTCCCTAGTGTACATTAGATAATAATATTGTAACTAACTTTTTCTCTGCTCTCCCTATATTTAAGCTACCCCATTTCAAACCCTCAACAATACTTTGTATTTAAACAAACTTGATTATAGAAAATTTCAAATATATGTACCTAAAACTAAAGATTGTGTAAAGAATCCCTATACATTTATCACTTAGCTTTAACAATGATGAAATTTTGCCTATCTTGCTTTAAAATTTTTCTAATTAAAAAAGACTTCTGGTTTCTTCTCTGAAACCTATTTAGATTGGGAATTGAATTCTCATTCCTATAATGAGAAAAACCTAAAAAAAACCTGGCAATCACTGTCTTCCTGTGGTTTCATCAAGGAAATAAAATTATGGGTCAAATCACTGTCCTACAGTCTGGAGAGATAACTCAATCCAAAGAGCCACAGCTGAGACGTGCTTAGCCAGGATGGAAGCTACTGGTTATTTTGTTAATTGAGTGATAATTGTGATGAATTGCTGAAGGTGGAGTGTGGGCTATCCTGTGAGTGAGAAACACCTGGGCTGTAGTCCTGTGCAATCTTATAGAGTTTTACACACTTTTTGTCAGTTTTTCCTCTAGGAAATCCAACAAATTCTCAAGGTGAAGAGCCAAGAAAGATCCTTCATAGCCTTGGTAGGGGCAGGGGAAGATTCATTGCTATACTATGTGCCAAGAGCAGTCTTCCTAACAAAGGCCTACTGTCCAGGGAAAATAGTTCACAACAGCCTCATCTTACCAGGGAAAAGGCATTTCTCTCACTCTAGCCTCACTTTCTCACCAAAGGGGTGGAGAGGGAAGCTGTATCACTGGAGAAGCACTGGTGAAGGTCACAGCTGAAGACAGTATACCACTGAAAGACTGAGATTTAGTCACATGATTATCTTCCGTCTTTGTTTTGCCATCATACCAGTAGGGTCCCAGTATAATAATAACAGATTACAGCTGAAAGAGCTGCTAGGTCCACCTACTCTTTGAGGAGGGACTTAGGGAAGCCCAACTCTAGAGGGGAGACAGAAAAAAAAGAACACTGGAGAAATGTGAAGCTGTAGGCTCCTGCATCTATAGTAAACATTAAACAACCCAACTCCCAGGCATTACTAGCATAAGTCCTCACTTAAGCCATATTACTGGTATAACAGGTACAGTTTACATAAAAAATTACTAGACTTGCCAAAGAATAAAGTAAATTGAAGAGATAAAGCAAGAATCAGGACCAGACTGAGATATCCTATAGATGTCAGAATTCAGTTACAGATTAAAATGATTGGTAAAGTAAGTGCTCTTACAACAGCAAACAGAAATGACACCCAGGATTTGGAGGCAGATTTATTTATGTTGAGAGGCACTGACTGAATACCAGATAAAGTTTTCTGGCTGAGGTTGTTGTTTCAGTCAATTGGATCCCCAGAGAGGGGACTTGGACCTGTGGACTGGATTATTTTGTGTCATTGGTGGCAGGTTTCCAAACAGCAGCAGGAAGCAGTTTGTTGGGCAGATTATTCCTGAAGGAGAATGTTGGCAAAAATAGTTTTGTTCAAGGTGACCACAGCAAATTTAGCCTGTTGGACTTTATTTCTAATAGAGTTACTTTCATCTGTAAACAGGGTGTACTTAGCATCTGTCTGGGGGTCCATTTTTAAAGAAAAGTTTATCCCAGTATAGCATGTGGCACCTGAACAGGTGCCACTTTAGCTCTCAGTCTAAGGTGGGTTTGTCAGGTTTGTTGATCAGAAGGACAGTGGCGGTTAGAGTTTGGAGGCAAAAAAAGGAGGCAGCCCTTAGTGACTGAATGTAAGTATTTGTACAGGTAGGCCACTGGGTGCTTCCTGGGCCTGACAGTCTGAGTAAGTATCACTGTTTTTGTGAACTCAAGGATAGTCTCTTGCGACATGGGATACTGTTTGATGCAGGTGGGGTTTGCCCTGGGATGGAGTTTCATAATTAAAGGCAGGTGGTCAATGGCCCAATCTCAGGGCTCAGGGAGCTGAAAGGGATGGAGGAAACAGGCTGTCTCAGAGTGGCAAAATTTGTTGTACAAGGCTCCCTGAAAATAGTGGGAGAGTTTCCAAATCCTTGTGGCAATCGAGTAACAGTCTAAAAATTGTGTATAGGTTGGGAATGACAGAATGTAAAGTGATGGTTGCATTGTTGACAGCACAGAGATTTGCCCAAGGTGATTAACAGTCTATCAGGCTGATGTGTGGCTGGATGTCTGTGCTTCCTGTGACATCTGACAGCAGTGGGGCTCACACTGAATCTTTAGTCTTTCACATTGAATCTTTAGTCTATACCTTTGGGAGGAGAGTTTTCAGAACTTCAAGATTTTGGTTATCTGTCTCAGGCTGATGCAAGTGTCATTTTCCTCTCAGGGAACAGTCAAAGTTGAAAGTGCAGGGTTAAACAAGAGGGAGACTTACTGTCTTGGTGCAACAGAGATATCCTCCCAGGCTATAAGTTTGTGCTTGGCAGAAGGGGTGAGAGGCAAGAGTCCCAACTGCCCTGGTGATGATAACTTTTTAACAGAGGGAACTTCTGAAGGCAGAGAGTTCTATTTCATTGTCTACCAGGAAAGTCACAGCTTTGCCCTCACCTTTTACAATGACTGTAGGCTCTTGGGGGCCCAATTTGATAGAGCTCAGTCTGTCCTATCTATTCAGGCCCAACAGGGAACAACTCATTTGTCAGGGCTGACAGTCCAATTTTTCCTCAGTCAAAATGTGGAACTTAGAAGGAATCCTGAAAGTTATCTTGGATGGGTGTTAGATGATGTCATATGACCAGGATAGGCACATCTCAGGGGGTGCTGTGTGGCCAAATGCAGGCAGTGGCTAGCTGGAACCAGTTCAGTTGGCTGGTGGTAGGCAAATCATGAGTGGGGAGTGAAGCTATAGGTGTTGGCAGCAACTGCAGCAGCCAATGAGGCTGCCAAAGCAGAATTTTCAGGAAGGATGTGTCTTTTTTCCTTTTTTTCTTTGAGATGGAGAGAGTGGTTTAGTTTTATTTTTAACTCTGTAAAAGCCCCTTTTTCTGCAGTCAGGAACTATGGGTTTTAACTAATTAGTTCTGATTCTGCCTCCTTGTGGTGTATGTTATATACCCTTGAATGATGGCATGACAGACAAAGGGTGGGTGCCCCTCAGAGAGAGACCATTCAGTTGCCTGTCTGGCTGTACCCATCATGGGGACTTAGGCATGACTTTGCAAAGGAGGGTGTGAGGCCTCCATTATGCCATATGTTGATCACCATGGAACTGCAGGCGAGGGCCCAGTCAGCAACCACCATGACCAATGCTTCCCAGTCTTGGTGCACAGAAGGAACACCCTATTGCTTATGCTGTCTATTCCACTCATTCACTTAATCATTCAGCAGGCACTCAGAGGTTAAACATTCCAACTCCCCTTCCCTTGAGGGAGACCTTAACTAACAAGAGTTGATCAAGCTCTTTTTCTGCTTGAACTGAGCAAGACTGACAGACTGACTAACTGGTGTGCCCCCCAGGGTATTACTGGAATTAGGCAGGCCGGTGGACAGACAGACAGACAAACACACAGACAGGGTCCTTTTCCCTTTGGAGTCCAACGTGAGCTGCTCAAGTGCAGAGCCAAGAATCCTCCTCCAGACCTCCAAGGGGACTTGAGAAATCTCAAGGACATGCCTTCCCACTGGCACCTGGAGAGATCCTGCTGTGTCTGTGAGGACCACAGCCAGTGACCAAAGAGGTTAGTACAGTCAGTCTTCCAAGCCAATGCATCAGATGCAATGGCAAGCAGAAACACTAAAATGGCACCCAGGATTTGGAGGCATATTTATTTTCTGTTGATGGGCACTGATCATGATCACTCCCAGAATATCAGGCTCTGATCTCTGGTG